ATGGTATCGATTTATCCGTAATAACAAACTAGGGATGTTGCGAATGTGGATTTTTAGACATCCGCGGATGCGAATATTTAACAGCTAACATCCGGATGTCTAGTATTTTTAAGAAACAACTAGAATATAGCATAATGGCGAGATCGTTGTTTAAACAGCGCTTACAAGTTAACCCAGATACATATGTCAGGTTTTTCTAAAGCCTTTTAAAAAGAACTAGAGTGCCAGTTACTGTCGAAATTCGACAGTTTTTCTAGTTTTAGAAGCCTTGGAGAGGGTTTTTAACTTAACACGTAGCAAAACTTATACAGTAAAAAATTAACTAACCGAAAAACCGTCTGCTTTGGAACTAAAACGTAACTAAAATTTTTTTATCTGAGAAGGTCTTTGGAAGACTTCGGCAGGACTTGGAATTGACCCGATACATTCAAGTTTATCGATAAATTTCAATGATTTGATACATATCGATAGTTCGATGAATTTCAAGAACACTAAAATCCGATAACTCAACAAAATTCGTTAACTCGACCAATTTCGATAACTGTGGAATTCGAGGGCTCGATAAATTTCGGTAATTCAAAAATGTAAATTCTGTGGATACCTTTATAAATTTTTACTTTTGACAGCTTCACATTTTTCGAAATCTATCTAATCATTTTGATAACTCGTTACACTCTGTTAACACGATAAAATTCGATAAGCAGTGATAAACCGATAAGCTTATATAACCTTGAATTTTCGATAAATCGATATATTTTGAAAATTCCATAAACTTCGATTCGTTGAACCAACCAATTTCAGTAGATCAATAATTATCGATAACTCTGTAAGTTGAAAGAACTCCATGCATTACGACACCTCGAAAAAATTCGTTAAGTCTATAAATGATGATAATTCAATAAATATCAACAACTTGATACCTTTCTTTAACTTGACAAATTTCGTTAATCCCACACGTTTTAATAGCTCGATAACTATCCGTAAATTTGGACAACTCAATAAACACTGATCAGTTTGAATAATTCGATACGTTGCGATAACTTAATAAGCATGGATAAATTTCGATAATTATAAACTTCGACGATTCGATAAATTTCAGTAACCTTTATGGCTGATTTTATTTCGATTCGATTTCAACTCTGTTACCCTAATTCTTATGTATTTCTCATTGTCTCCATTTTCGTCTTTATCTTCACTTTTGCCTTTTTTGTCTTCATCGTTATCACTTGTTTCTTCATCTTCATATTTATCTTTATTTCAAAGTTTAATTTCAAATACGAAGTAAAACAAAATGCGAAACAGCTTAAATTGAACAGGTTGCAAAAACAACCATACACAAATATGGAAATTTTTAAACGACGATTTTCAACCAATTTCGAAACTATAAAAACTCTCCTCATCTACAGAAAATTACCTTTCCAACGGTGTTTTTGGTTTTGAAATCGGTAACTTTACCTTGGTCTTCATCTTTGTTTTTATCTTTCACATCTTTGCTTATATCCTTTTCTTTTTCTATTCACGTAGATGAGATGAGGTGCGATGACGTGATAAGATGTGACGTGATTTTATGTGATGTGATAGGATGTCATGTCATGTGTTGTCATATCCTCTGATGTCATTTCATATGATGTCATATCATGTGATGCCACGTCATGTAATGCCATGTCATGTCATACGATGTCAAGTCACGTGATGTCATGCCATATAATGTGATGTCATATCATATCATGCCATGTCACGGGATATCGTGTGATGTGATATCAAATTATGTGATGTAACATCATGTGATGTCTCTTCATAATGCGATGTGATGTCACTTAATGTGATCACATTCCATGTTCCGATTATTATATCGATAACCCTGTTGATAACTGTGCCGATAAAAATACCGATAACAATATCCATAAACATATAGAAAAATACAACGATTGTAAAATCGATTAATTCATCGATAAATATAACAATCATCAGTATCGATTATTGTACATATCGTTAACAATATAAATGACTAAATCGATAACAAAATCAATTATTTAATCGATTATTATACCGATAACAATATCCATTATTGTATCGATAACAATATCGATTATTATATTGATTATTATATCGATTACAATAGCGGTTATTTAATCAATAACAGTATCGATAACAATATCGATTATTTTATCGATAGCAATATCGATTATTATATCGATAAAAATATCGAGTTTTATATCGATAACAATATCGATCTTCATCCTCATCCTTTTCTTCATATTTATCTTTATTTTTGCATATTCCTCTTCACCTTTACCTTAAAGTGTTTAAATTTACTTTGATCTTCGTTTTTGCCTGTACCTCTAGGCATCTTTGTTTTTGTTTTTATTCTCAAACCGCTAAACCGCTGAGAACCATTTCCATGTGCATTATTCCCCTTGAATTTGACAATTTACTCCCAACCAACCAACTGCCGCTAAAGAAGTTTACTTCATAAATTCAAGAAATATTCATACCCTTTCAGTTACCATAATTCTTATGTATCTGTCATTGTCTCCATTTTCGTCTTTATCTTCACTTTTGCCTTCTTTTTTTTGACTTCTTCGTTATCATTTATTTCTTCATCTTTATATTTATCTTTATTTCAAAGCTTAATTTCAAATGTGTAGTGAAACAACAGGCGAAACATGCCAAATTGAACATGTTGCAGCAACATCTATTCACAATTCGAAAATGTTTAAGCAACGGTTGTGGCCGTAATTTTCCACCAATTGTGAAACCATAAAAATTCTGCTCATCTACGGAAAAATGCCTTTCCAACGGTGTTCTTGGTTTTGATATCGGTTCGGTAGAATAGCCAAACGAACGGAGACAAAATTTATGTTAGCGTATTAATATATAGATTCTTCATTCTCATTCCTTTGGCAATTTCAGAATTTGGGGAATCTGTAACTTTATCAGCGTTTTTCGATTTTAGTTTTTGTAATTCATTTTTAGTACTTTCTTCTGCGGCTGGTTTGAAAAACTTGTGCTTATAACGAGCTATGTAAATAGGTCGATATGGAAAATAAATTATTATGTTTGAACAAAATTCTGTTTTAAAAGTCGTGGCTGCCAGCCGAATCGGATCAGAATATTTTTTTTTTTAAAGCACCCCGTTTTTGATAAGCATTTGAATCTCAGATAGATACGTAATTAAAGGTCAGACCTATAGCTTTTTAATTATTTGAGCATCGATTCTCTTTATAGCGAGACGTTGATCATATCTGCTGGAAATCCATATTGAAGAAGCTTACGCTTTGACTTTAAATAGCAAATAAGGGACAGTTTTACCACTGAAATTTTTAGCCAAGGATCCAATGTATATCCCTATGAAAAAATATTGCCCGACAAGTAAACAAAATTACTGTTTTTAAAATGTTTCCTAAAAATAAATTCCCCAAAGAGCCCCATTTGAAATCATTGAAACGAATATATGTAACATCAAAAGCAAATTACGAAAACTTGGTAAAGAATTACAGTTCATACTTTCTTCTTTTGTGTCTAGTAGTTTTTTTTAAGATTGGTCCAAAAAAATCATAAAAAGAAGGAAACAAATGCAGGTATTTAAAGCACAGAAAAAAAAAAAGTATTAAAAGGACTATGTTTTCTTTGACGTACGTCAAATGTCAAGTAGAAGTGGGAACTTGTATTACTGCCCCTTGATAGCGGGTTATATCGCTTAAGAAATAAAAGGGGAAATTCATCTAAACGTGTAAATGCCTCGTGACCATGCCAACCCCGTAAACTTACTTCATTGTTTATGGAAAATCGCTTTATTTACGCGGTTTACGCAATTACGAGGCATTTACGCGTTTCCATGAATACCCATAATATGTTTAAAGACATTTTTATCAAAGCTGATAAATATGACATTTGACCAATTTTGTTACACAAATACTCCCACGACCACAGGCCTAAATATTGGCTACAATTTGTCATTTTGTTTGCCATATATACGTTTCATCGGTGCACTTGCACAACATTCGCAAAAGCTCCGTATTGATTATTGCGAATGCGAATGTTAAAATTAATGCCGAAGCTCCGCGGTTGCGAATGCGAATATTCGCAACAAACCACTATCGATATCTCGGTACCAAAATTTCTTTTCAAAATAGTTGACCTGTGATATAATTCAACGTTGGAATTAGCGCATTCAATCCTCGGATCCCGAGATTTTTCAGGATTTTGACTTTATTACAATTTTAGTATTTTAAAAAATTAAACTGCACAGATTCATTGTCGCCACATGTGGTCTTACGTGAGGCATAATGCAGCTTATTACAAGAGTCCATAATTTAATGTTAAAACATTTTTATAGTATTCTTAAATATCCATATTAAAGTAAAAAAACGCTCATATTGGCAGAAAGTCAATTTCCACTAAACCATGCCAACAAAGTAAAATGGAGAACAAATCTGCCACACTGAAAATTTCTATTGTTTACAATTGCTACCAGATTTTTCGGTCTTACATAGTTCTTGCACAAAATGTTTGAACAAGTAAAGTTATTCTGGCAGGTTTTGAAATGACTCAAGTTCACTTTGAATCCAAATTTTGGTGTTCTGTATACGTATGTATATGGTTTTTCATGTCACACACAACATCACTTTCACTCTGTAAATAATAAATCACTAAAACTCTCAGCTTCCCAGAGCTGATTTCGGGACATAGAAAACTGCCCTGGATCCTAGGATTGAATACCCTGGGTAGAATACGATTAGATATCTCACATTTTTATCGATATTGAGAACTAAGTCCCCTTTTTGTACACAATGCCATCATTCTCTACAGTTTCTCTAATCGCCCTCTAGCCTTCGAATCCTTTTCTAGTCGTTATCTAACCTAAATGTTTGTTGGGTAACTGCTGAAGTGCTTAGGCCATAAGCATCGCGCCTTTAATCTCATATACAAAATAGGCTATACATACATATATGTATGTGCATACTTACTAAACTCCTTTAGCTTGTGTTAATACGTACTGTTTAGCCTTCTGATGACACCCACAGCATTGAATATTCGTGGTTGGTGCAACATTATGTTGTGTTTTATTATCCCAGTTATATTGGTCAGTTTTTGATAATCGCGTCCTGACGTCTTGATTTTTACTTTGCAAATTCTGGCTACTTTTATATTCATTGCCGTTAAGAGATCGTATTTTGTGTCCAGAAGTACCCCAGATAAAATCGTTTAAGTCCGGAAAGCACTCATCGAAATTAGAATTCGTACTTTTTACAGATCCAGAGGTACACTTATTTATAGATCTAAATGAATCAGAACCGACAGAAGCTCTCTCGTTGATTGCATTTCGTGCAGGAATATTGGTTGTATTTGTGGCGGTTTCGGTTTGTATATCAACTGCACACATAACTTCATCGAAACCGTCATTGAAAAAATTATCCAATGTCAAGTCGGGAACTACCGAACTTTCAATATCCATAGGAACTGAAGACTGATCAATTAATGTTTGTTCACTTGCTGCAGAAATTATAAGAAATTAGTAAGTAATTAAGTAAGTATTTTAGGAATGAATACACTATGCGACAGCCAATTTTACACACGAAAAAATCAATGTATTCAAAAACTGGGGGCCAAATATAGAAATCCTGCGTTTTTAGTTTTTTTGCCTGACGTCAGGATTTTTTTTAAAGTACTTTGAAACTTCTAGAATATGATTGAATACAAAAAGTTATTCAAAAGATTCGGTGCATTGTAGAATAACAATATGGGTATCAATTAAAAGGAAAAATTCTGTTACAGTTACAATATACATAAATGAAGATAGTGGAATCATGAATGCGCTCTAAAAGCACAAACTTACCGTATGATGTACGGTTTAAATACTTTGACTGCTTTGTATATAAGGGCGTAGCCAGCCTTTCACCTAGGGGGGCTGGAGTTTATATAGAGGGAAAAAATGTTTTTAATTAAATTTTTTTTGTGTATATGAATCGAATTTTTTGGGTTTAAAAAAGTATAAGTTTTCTGGTATCCTTTACAACGATACCAATTTTCTAAAAACCAGGTTGAAATTTTTTTGTTTAAAATATTTTTTTTTATAATAAAGGTATTTTTTTGTTTTTAAGTGGTTTTTCTCAAATTTTTATATATGAAGTATACAAATATGCATACCAGAAGAAAGGGGGTTTAATCGCCTTTACAATGATACCAAATCAGTACAAAATTGTTTGAATTATAAGGTTTTTAAGTTTTCGAAAACCCGACTTTTGACCCCTTATAGCACCTGTAATATAAGTTTGCACAAAAAAGTTATATACCATTTAAATAAGAGCAAAAGGCGGACTACGCCTATATTTTTAGTTTTATTGTTATTTACAAATCATAATAAAAAATAATTTTTTACCAAAGGTCCCGTTTCGAACTTCGAAGGCCCATATCTCGATTTCGGAAGCTAACTTCGAAAATCGGAGAAACAACTTTTTTACCTATGACTCAATCTCTGAAAAAAAATTGGTTTAGTCCAATACACAGCCGAGTGCTGTACAGTGTAATGATTCCAGTATCTTCATTTATGTATATACTAATAAAGTTAGAAGGACGAAATTCGAGGATGTCATAGTTTACATATTAGTCTTTGACATATATTTTTTACAAAAATAAATATTGGAAATTTTCAAGGTTATTCAAGGATAAAGTTTTAAAAGGACATTTTCAACACTTATTCGTCCTGATGCACCAAAAAACGAAATGTTTTTTCAATTCTACAGAATTTTTCCTTTTAATTGGTAGCCATATTGTTACTCTACAATGTACCAAATCTTTTTAATAACTTTTTTATTCAATCATATTCTAGAAATTTCAAAGTCCTTTAAAAAAAATCCTGACGTCAGAGAGAAAAACTAAAAACGCAGTTATACTATATTTGACTCCTAGTTTTGTGGATATATTGATTTTTTCGTGTGTTTTACAAATTCTTGGTTTTTGTCGCATGGTGTTAAGACATATGTATTACCGACTGTGAAGTACGTTCGAACGCTTTGGGTTGTGCTTTTAGTTTTCTTCTTAAGTGGCAGCTGTTTGGTTTCAGTATTTGATTTTGATTTGCTCATATTTCGATTTTCGTTTATATTTCTCGGACATTCTGACCCTCTAATGGTTTCACTATTTCTAAAAGCGGCGGATAAAGCAACACCAGCCGTAATAGTATTTGAATCTTGGGTGGCAGTTCCAACAATTCCACCAGTTCGCTTTACTTGATCAAGATTAATATTGAAATTATCTTGAAACTGTTGGTCACAGCGGAAGCATGTTTTGTACCAGCCAGAAGGTGTTTTAAACAAGGTTTTGTAGTACATAGACGCGAATTTTAATTTAATTAATTTTACATTCGGTCCACAACGCTGGCAAGTTTCCGATAAAACTTTTGGCTCTAAGCACTCTTCTGATAGCCAAATGGTGTTCTTACAATCAGGAAAATTCATGCAGCCTATATAATAGCTGTTTTGGTTTTTTTTCTGCCGCAACGATAACGGAGCTACTGAACATTTTGGACATTGAAATAGTTCTCTTGTTATATTACCCCCATCGCTCCTCTGGCTTTCGTTTGTCGCAGGAGTTTCATTTATTCTACAAAGACATACATACGTAATTATTCAGAGATATCCATGGAAAAGTAATTAGTTTGAAATTACCGTAAAGACATTTTATTATCCATGGCGGTGACCTTTTCTGTAATTTGCTTGTACGCTTCCAAATACTTTTGAATTTGTTCATTCAGTACCGTCTTAGGATTTTTTTTTCCAGTGCTAATATCTTTTAAATCCGACTCAAATGCTGCCCTCAACATGGGTTTGGCTAAAGCCAGATCCATTGCATCATAGCCCTCATATAGACCCATTCCTATAATACCCGGTACGAGACAACCTTTGTCAACCACTCCGATGTATCCTGCACACGTATACATTGACATTAGAAGAGCGAATAAAAACTTATCAAACGATACCTCTTTCTTTAATTGTGTTTATATGTTCAGCATGAGTTGCATCAGTTCCAATGCCATGTTTTTCCATCAAAGCTATCAAATCAGCCTCTGTCAAAAGTGGTGGCGCAGTAGTGGCACCTTCTTGCATTGATATTTCTGTAGGATCAAATAACTGCCCTGTTTATGAAAATTTCGTTTATTGTACATAGATATTTTCCCATTTAATTATATTATACTAATGTCCCTATTCTGCATGTTACCGAACGGTAAATTTAAATCACTTTAACCGCAATTCTAGTAACGATATCAACGTACATATCTGTGTTCGTATGGAATAGTAGCTTCCCAGCAAACACAGTTCCAAACGTTTGGGAAAAATGTGTTTCANTAATACCCAAAGAGCAAACAATGATTTCGATGAATTTTTCAAGCCCTTGTCTTTATTTCGGATATAATAATGGCATAAAACTATTACACACGGTGCAAGTGTTTAATAACATCATTTTTTCTCGCACTTGGAATAGTTTCTCGGTGATTCCGNCTATTCTGCATGTTACCGAACGGTAAATTTAAATCACTTTAACCGCAATTCTAGTAACGATATCAACGTACATATCTGTGTTCGTATGGAATAGTAGCTTCCCAGCAAACACAGTTCCAAACGTTTGGGAAAAATGTGTTTCATCATATCAAATGTTTTTCTCAAATGATTCTCAAATTGAAAACGAGGTTTAAATTTTACATTTGAAATTGATTTGAGGTTGATTTGAAGAAAGATGTCAAGTATCAAACGTTATAAAAATGCGCAGTTAAATCAAAAATTGTAAGAATAAAATTAAGATCAATTGAAAAAAAAAACAATAAATAGAAAAAATTTCAAAGAGAAAGCTCACAAATAGTGGATTTGATGTTTGTGCGGATTGAAAAAGCTGCAGCCCTTCAAGACGAATTTATTATAAATTACTTTATCTTAATTGTTTCTTTTGTTATGTACATACATATGTACATCGCGAAGAAAAAATAAATATGAAATATAGATTTCCTATTATACATTTTATTTCCACATTTGAAGTACATTTGATAAATAACCTTTGAAATTGATTTGAGAGGTAAGCAGATTCTCAAATGGAGATCAAACTCCCCTTTTTATTGAGAAAGCTGTAATTTTCAAATCAATATCAAATCATTTTCAAACGTTTGACATTTGATAAAGGCTTTGATTTCAAATCATTCTCAAATGTATATCAAACCTAATTGTTTGCTGGGTTACGTCGAAAGGCTGGCTTTAGTATATGCGCCATTCGCTTTATTCTTAAAATGACAAGAAATTTTTTGATTAGACTTAATAAGAATATTTTCTTGCTAGTATCGGAACTATTTCTTGAATATTTATTTGCCAAAAGTTCTTCAACGCCTCGGCGCCAGTGAGTCATTCGAAATCGTATGCTGCAAATAACGCATTATACTAAAGTCAGAATCCCGACATAAGCTACTACTCCATACGAACACGGAAATGTACATATATGTACATACACTAGGCATCATATAAAAGTATAAATGTCGCAGTTATTATTTTAGTACAGGTTTGTTAAAATAAATAAATATTAGTTCATATGATATTATTATATTTCCATAGGTATCTGAATAACAAAAACATAGTATATCCTTTATCAGAAATCGGACGAAAAATGGTAGATTTTTAATTTAAAAACAAGAGGGCATATCCATAGCCGAAATAAACTTATGTCAAAAAGATGCTACTATATTCAGAGTCGAGTTTGTTTTGATATGCCCTAATAATGATTCTAAAACAAAGGAATCGTCAACAGAAATTATAAACTCGCCAAAAAAAAACTCTGCTTTAGAACCAAATTTAGTAATTGGTATTTCCAGCTTTGCTTTAAAATACTACACGAACCCTTTTCTATACTAGTATATATTTTGAAAGCCGTTTTTTTTTGTGTGTTCGCAAAGCTCAAGAACGGCTGAGCCGATTTTCTGAAATTTCGGACACCTGTCGCACACGTCCCAAGGATGGTTAAGGGCTAAAAAAAAATTTCGATACCGTACAAAGGGGGCGTGGCACCTCCCGTACAAACCGAATTTTTCATCCTGCATATCTCTGGAAGTGTTCATGGTAGAGTTCTGGAACTTAGTATGGAGATATACGAAATCAATCGCATACTCTTGGAGAAAATTTGGAGGTATTGGAAAGGAGCGCGTGGCCCATACAAACCGAATTTTTCATACTGCATATCTCTGAACATGTTCACGGTAAAGTACTGGAACTTGGTATGGAAATATATAAAATCAATCGCATACTCTTCGAGAAAAATTGGAGCTATTGGTTAAGGGGGCGTGACACCTTCCATACAAACCGAATTTTTCATACTGCATATCTCTGGAAATGTTCATGTTAGAGGACTGGAGCTTAGTATGGAGATATATAAAATCAATCGCATACTCTTGGAGAAAAATTGGAGCTATTGGTTAAGGGGGCGTGACACCTTCCATACAAACCGAATTTTTCATACTGCATATCTCTGGAAATGTTCATGTTAGAGGACTGGAGCTTAGTATGGAGATATATAAAATCAATCGCATACTCTTGGAGAAAAATTGGAGCTATTGGAAAGGGGGCGTGGTACCTCTCATACAAACCGAATTTTTTATACTGCATATCTCTGGAAATGTTCATGATAGAGGACTGGAACTTAGTATGGAGATATATAAAATCAATCGCATACTCTTGGAGAGAGTTTCCTTATTCACGGGCGTCACCCCAGCAAAAAAAAATAAATAAATGCATATCCCTGGACATGTTCATGGTAGACTACTGGAACTTGGTATGGAGATATACAAAATCAATCGCATCCTCTTTGAAAAACAATTGGAGCTATTGGTTAAGGGGGCGTGGCACCTACCATACAAACCGAAATTTTCATGCTGCATATCTCTGGAAATGTTCATGGTAGAGTACCGGAACTTGGTATGGAGATATACAAAATCAATGGCATACTATTCGAGAACAATTGGAGCTACGGCGTGGCATCTCCCATACAAACCGAATTTTTTATACTGCATACCTCTGGAAGTGTTCATGGTAGAGTATTGGAACGTGGTATTGAGGTATATGAAATCAATCGCATACTCTTTGAGGAAAATTAGAGCCATTGGAAAAGAGGCCGTGGCACCTCCCAAACAAATCAAATTTTTCATACTGCATATGTGTAACGCAGCTTTTCACTTAATACGACTGTGTTTGTGTGAATGTGTATCCGCCGGATGTGAAAGCAGCTATAAGTTCTGTGAGCCACCCAAAGTGAAAGCCAAGGGTGTGAAACCTTGCTGACCAGGCGGTTCGATAAGGCAGTTCTGAGCATGTATGTATGTATATGTGTATGTGTTAGTTAACTACCATTTGGGTAGGAATTAAGCTTCCTTTTTCTTTTTACCTTCTCTTTATTTCATTATATTCTACCCAGTCACCTGTGACTATTGCCTTTTGGTATAACTTGAACTTTTCCTTATTGGTTTCAGTCAATTGTCTATCATACCATTTATTTCTAATTTTAACGCGAGTTTGTACCCTAGAAGTAAGTTTATTCATACTCGAAATCAAACTATGTTTAATATGCTCGAGCCTGTCATCAGGGCTGAGATTATTCAGGTCAGTAAAGTTGCATTGTCTCAAGAGGTGTACGAGGTTGTCCGGGCTGTATGCTTCCCAAGAAGTTATTTCTGACAGCTTATTGATAGGGCCTAGTTTTTTTTTTGTATTGCACCTAGACATTATAGTTTCGTGATCCGATATTTTGTGCTCCTCGGCTTTTTCCCATACAACTTCTTTCGAGTTCGAGTACAACAAATCGATCAGTGTAAAATTAATTAACTGTCGCATTGCCTGTTGAGCGAAGATCTCATTGACTCTCTTGATATATGTCGATACAATGTTTAGGTTTATATTAAAATCTCCAATAATAACAGTATTTACCAGATTCTCGCATATTTCCGATAATATGGCTTCCAGATACATATGACAAAAAATCAGCATCGCTTGCGATAGGTGAGTGATAAACCACCCCGATTTTCCATTTGGTATCACAGTTTTCTAGCTGTATAACTATACACCATACATTTTTATCAATCGATCTATTTAATTTTATTTTAAAGTTTATTGTGTTTCGCAAGATTATTATTACACCGCCTGTATGTCTACTATGTGAGTCACACCTAATACACTGATATGTCGAAAACTTAATTTCTGAGTCATTTATTTCATCTGTTGTACATGTTTCAGAGCATATAACTATATCCGGATTAACAGTCTCAATAAGTCTTTCGAGTTCGGCTTGATTAGCTATTATACTATTTATTATAAGATACACACACTTTAAGTAGCTGTTACGCTTTTCCCTTATGCCTAATTGCTAGCATCCTACCCTTTGTTTTTCTAGTTTCAGTTTCCTAATATAGATATGACATTCACGACTAAATACGTTGTGCTCCACATCCAGATTCAGCCCTAACTCTTTAACAGTATCACAATAATTGTCACAAAGTTGTTTTTGGTCACTCTCAGTGCAACTCTCAGACTTGTGCTCTCCCATGCATTTGCTACACCTAAGCTTTTTGTTACAATTGTTAGAGCTATGGTTGAAGCCCAGACACTTGTAGCATCTTCTTACAGTTTGCCCATCATAGACGGGGCAACGATCCAACCCAATATTAACTCTCTTTGACTCCAATACTTGCAGGAAGAATTTATGCTCGATTTCTATTATTGCACTGAATGAAAGCCATGACTCACAACTACGCCCGGACTTAAATATTTTTACACACCTCAAACTTGCATAATTTAAATAGCTATTCTGACCTTTTATCTTATTTATAATCTCCGTCTCAGAGTACTCAGCGTTTATGTGCGCTACCAAAATTTTAGGCTTATTAACTTTTGGTTCGGTGACATCATACACATCTTTATTTAAATTGTCTGCTAGAGCAGATTTTGTTTTGTCCTTATCTGCAACGCTATTTGCGGTTAATACCACTGCCCCATTGTTCTTATTAGACACTCTATCAATTTTCATATTGGATGCATTGATCTTATTAAGGTCCACCCTAGTCTTCTCAGCCGCTTGTTTATTTTTCGGTCTGACAATTATAGGAGGAATACG